GCATGTGTGCACATGCGTTGCACCGTTGGTGGTGCCAAAACCCTTAGTGGGAAATTCCTTTGTGTGTTCTTTCTGGCTCCTGGTGCAGGTGCTGCTCGTGCTGGCCCAGGGCGCCGTGGCCTCGGAGGTGCTGGGGCGCCACAAGGCCGCCGCCGCCGCCGGGGGGCCGAGGGCTCCAGAGGCCGGCCGCCCGCACAGGGGCAGGCCGAGGGTGAAGTCGGGTCGTGCCCTTCTCCACAGGAGGAGGGGATCTTCAGAGACAGCCCAAGCAAAGCGTACGGGGACGATCTTGTTCGATTACTTCGGATTATTCGTGGGCACGTTTGGGAGTACATTTTCCGTTTCTTCTGCTGAAGTTCGCCTGTAGGAGGACATGCCTGACCTAAGCCAAGGTGGAGCCCACGAGGGGGTGCTGGTGGAGGAGAGCCCACCCCTCGAGTCACGACAAAAATCACGACGGCAGGTCTTTCGCTATTTTCGGCCTCTGGGGGCCCTCACCAGGCTCCGGGACCGTCAGAACACGACTCAGGATGACAGGCCAGCCGGTCCTGGGGAGTGGGTCTGGACCTCTGGGGGTCGTGCCGTGAGATAATCATGACGTCGGGGGTCTGGGGGGGGCGGAGGAGGTTGGTTGTTAGGCGATGGCTCAGCGCTGGGCACGCTCGTTCGCAGCCGTGCGCGCGAGATGCAGTTGACAGGGCGCCCGGGCGGGGTGCCCAGGCACACACGGCCTTGCTCGTGCTCCGTGAGTGCACCACTGCGCAGGGAGCCTTATGGGTCCATGGCTCATGCTGCCTCAAGGCGAAACGTTAGCGCACGAAGACTTGATGCATCAAGACAGAGGGCGCGAGGCCAATCGATGAGAGATCCGCACAACGGTGGGTATACGAGGGTAGTCAGGGCCCAATAGACAGCAAAACACACCAGCCCTCAAAGAGGAGGGGTACCATTCTCGCAGCGGGCAGGCGGGCCAATGGACCCTGGGCGTCGTGGCTGAATGAGGAGGAGGAAGGAGTGGAGAGGGGACGCTACTGCTGCTGAGGAGGAGGAGGAGTAGGAAGAGGAGGATGATGAGGAGGAGGAGAAATAGGAGCGGAATGAGGGCGATGATAGGGAAATGCGTTGAAGGAGGAGTAGGAGAGTGAGGAGGAGGAGGACCTCCCCGTCCTCCCTGCCCCCCCTGCTCTCGCAAGCGAGATATATAGCCTACGTTCGCGTCCAGGGTTCAGATTTCGCCGCGCCGAGGCTCAACACCAGGAGCACAGGTTAATTACCCGATCAGACCACTGGCGGCCCCTACGTTCCGCCGTGCTGGATCGCACAGATTGCCCTGCCACGCGCACCACCGCGGCCCACACACTGAGGCTCCTTCGCGACGCCCCCACCCCTCCGTCCGCGACGGACAGCGCTGCCGCAGGTAGCCCCCGAGCCACTTCTTGCGGCCTTGAGGGGCCCACCAACCTTTTATGATTATGAGCTGAACCCTGACCACGCGTCGGCCCGCTCCGCCAAGCCCGCAGCCAGGTTGTAGCCATTGCGGCTCGAGCCGCTCTTTGGGGTTCTGTCGTCACCTCCGCTCCCTCCGCCCCTCTCTCGAGCCCATGCTCGCGTGCCGCTGCACGCCTTTGGCTCAAGACAACGGTGAGGCTACAGCGCAGCTGGAGTCTTCACGGAAAGGGGTGCGCGCGCCTCCCTCGTAGCGCGCGCGCATCGTTGTCCAGATTTCATTTCTGCTTGCCAGAATGCTGCAGCTGTGTCGGGCAACAGCACCGTAAGAAGCTAATCCATCTACAACATCCGCGTGAAGGGATTTCAGTGGTCAGGAGACCAATAGCAAGAGAGGCGCTCATTCGTCAGGATCTGTCAGTTATCTTGCGAGATACAGATTGCCAGCCGAACGTACGATGGATAAGGATCTTGACGCAGTTGGCCAGAGTGATCACCACAGGAACAGCCGTTCTAATAATTCGAGTGACTGTGGTGAGAGTGCGAAGTTACACGAGTCGCTGGGCGATCCCGTCAGAAGAACCCTAAAAGGAGGGCGTGGAAGCACATGGCATGTCTACTCCTCCCGGAAAGAAGAAGCAATGATTCGAGGATGCTTTTAATTGAGAGGGGAGAGTCTTCTCGGCAACCGGGTCAAGGACCGGAAGTGTCCACTATCTCCCGATCCATGCCGGTGCAGCCAAGCAGGAATCGTGCTAGACCACTGGCGGAAATCGTTAGTGCGGAAGGTGGGGCCTTGTCGTCCGTCGACGGCTTTGGGACCCCTCCTGGAGCGTATGTAATCGCAGATGGGACGGAATTCCCACTGGCTTATGATGCTGCGATCAAGGACGCAGTCTCCGATGCCGCCGAGGTTGATTCCGATGATCTTGAGGCTGGACTGGTGGGTCACGGTGCCCCTGGCGCCAGTCTCGTCGGCTCTATCGACGCAGGTGAGGATGACTTGCATGAGGTCCCAGTGCCATCTGACACGCCTGAGTCGTTGGCTACGGCCCCGAGCCGGCAGGAAAAAAATCCCGACGCAGTCGAAAGCGTCATGCCAGATCTTCCCAAGCGCAAGAAATACGTTCGAAGCGCAGGTGTGGGAGAAAACAACTCAAGGTCGAGTTCTTTTCATTCGAGAAGGATGAGGGGAGCAGAGCCAGACTTCGACGACCTCATCGGAGCGGAGAGAATTCGGCCTGTCCCGTCACAAACGCCTCGGCCCGAAGTTGTCGCGGTGAATGATGGATATCATTTGCCCAGCGGTTTTCCCAGGCAGGGCGCGGGTCACGGTGGCTCTGCTGCTGGTTTCGTGCCACTTTCCAGTCGGCCTCCCGGGCGGGACGCGGGTCACGGTTGCTTTGCCTTCGGTCCCGCGTCGCCATCGGTGTACATCGCTCATTGGGGCAGAAATTTGAAAGCGTTCGATCCGCGTGACGCAGGATCGGGCTCGCCCTTAACCCTTAACCGCCGCAGAGTCAAACAACTATGACGGGGAACTGTCGCGGACCTCGGTGCAAAGCTTCGAGAAAGAGAGAAAAGGTCGAGGAGTGACACATGTTCCTCTGTGCGGGGAAGGGCTAAAGGATTGCGTCCGTTAGCAGGTCCGGTACGTCCACCGTGAGTCGGGTTTCCGTGTGGGAAGGATGTTGGGATCTAACAGCCAGTTGCCCCGATGACGCTGAGCGCAGCTGCCCAGGCTAATCGGGTAACTGTAGCCGGCCAGGTGCTCGGGACCTACAAGCACTGCAACGTCAATTTCAGATGTGTCGACTGTATCGAGCCAGCAGGACATGACTGCTTAGTTCTTCTTAATGGAAAAGTCGCCCTGGGCTTTTTCTCCCCCGTTTTGCACATCGGGCTCTTGGCGCTCAGAAAGCGCCAATGCAACGCGACGTTTTTTAGCGCTTTTAGCTACGTGTTTTAAGCGGTTTTAGGCCCGTCGCTGTGGATCCTTTTTCTTATTTCGTTTTTCGCTTTCTGGTCGAAGGCTGTTCCTTGTTTTCCCTACTGTCGTCGCTCCCGCTTTTTCGTTTCTGCCGCCGTCCTCCCTTTCAGAATTAAACGCACTAAAAAAACGCTTTGACACAGGTCTAACAACGGTCCGAAACACGCCAGGAGGCCCGAGGGCCCCAGCCAGCAGCGAAGGCAAGAGAAGAGGAAGGTGAACAACACTAAGGATAATGCAAGTGCAGGGGGGCTGCACGCCAGGAGAAGAACTGAGGACGTCATAGACGGCAATGCTGAACAAAAACGTTAAAAACGTAGCTAGAAACACAAGCGCCTTTGTATATGTGTATAAAGCCTTTTTAGTGTTCTTGCTGGACCCCTAGGACACGATGTCCAACACGCAAAACACGGTATGAAACGCCCTGGGCATATTGGACAGGAACCAAGCATAACTGTTACGCCATGAGAGAAGCCATGTGGGGAGCTGCTCAACACCAGGAGGCAGCCATCGCCTTGGCTCAGGTGCAAGGGCGTCTCGACGAACAGAACCGCCAGCTGAAGTTTAAGCACAACGACTTGGCGGAGGAAATCCAGGCGAGGGCCGAACTGAACACCGAATTTCGAGCGAGCGTCGCAGTCGCTCGCGAGGTGGCAGTCCGCATATGGGCGCAGAGAGCGATGCGCCGGCACACAGGATGGAGGAGGCTGGCGAGACTGCCCGAACGGTCGAGGCGGTGGTCGCTGGGAGTCTCGGAGCAGAAATGGCCGAGGCACGGGAGACGCACGGTATGAACCCAACAGGGCTGAGTGCGCAGTCGGCACCCAACAGGGCGAGCCCTTCGCCACGAGGCTGGATCAAGAAGAGAAGGCCAGGGCAGAGAGAGAGAGAGAGAGAGAGAGACAGAAAGAGAGAGAGAGAGAGAGAGAACAAAAAAAATAGAACGAGAGAGGGATAAATATAATTTTGCTGCCCTGTGGGCCCAGCTATACAGAGTCCAGAGTGCCAGCCACGCGAAACGTGCTTCTGCTAGTGATACCATGCTGCGGCCAGCCAGCCAGCGGCCCGCCTCTGCAAGCGGATGTGCCGCTACTGGCATGACACACGGCCCTCCAGTGGAGTGTTGCAGTCAGCCCGCTCTCAGGATGGGCAACCTCCCCAAGGTCTCCCTTGCATCCTTGCTTCCTCGGTCCATCCTTGGCCACTTTCGCTGGCCGCGCCCCGCTCAAAAAGCTTCGAGACGGCCTTCTAAGGCCCTTGCATCCTTGTCGCGCATCCTCATGGTACGGGCCGGCTGTACTCGTGCCAGAAGGTACGGTCTGATGATGGCGCTGCGCGTGCCAGGGCGTGCTGCAAAGGCCATCGCTACGCGGGAGCCCGGGGTGCGCCGTGTGCAGATAAGAAGGTAGAGGCAAACACACGGCAGAACGAATATACAAGGATGAAGAAGAGTTCTGTCGGAAGGGGACGAGGGAGAACGCAGAGCGGCGAACGTCTGAGCAGCAGGCGCGGATTGCTGCCGAAAAGGGGGAGCGTAACGATTACGAGATGGAAGCTCGAGTTCAGGTTTTGACAAAACGTTTCAGTTGACGCAGATGCAAGAGTGCTTGCTGGCGGATGCTGCTCTCAGATCGGAGGCGAAAGGCGAGCGGAACCGCGAGGATACCGTTGCGTATCATAAGAAGCGATGAAGAGAAAGAGAGAGAAATAGAGAGAGAGAGAGAGAGAGAGACAGTGAAACATACAATTATCCCGGCAAAGCAACCTAACAGCGATGTGTAGAAGCATATTTGGAAGCATTGCCCTTGAGATTCATGCAGGAGTCCTGTTGTAGAATTCTGGTGTAATCGCAACCTCAGCCTCAACCTCAGCCTGCCTCAGCCTCAGCCTGCGTCAGCCTCGGCCTCAGCCTCAGCCTGCATCAGCCTCAGCCTCAGCCTCAGCCTCAGCCTCAGCCTCAGCCTCAGCCTCAGCCTCAGCCTCAACCTCAGCCTCAGCCTCAGCTTGAGCCTGCCTCAGCCTCAGCCTCAGCCTGCCTCAGCCTCAGCCTCAGCCTCAGCCTCAGCGGTGGATTCCCCATAGTCACTGGCGGCGCTGGGGGCCTCAGCCTCAGCCTCAGTGGTGCATTCCCCGTAGTCACTGGCGGCGCTGGGGGCCTGAGCCTCAGCCTCAGTGGTGCGTTCCCCATAGTCACTGGCGGCGCTGGGGGCCTCAGCCTCAGCCTCAGTGGTGCATTCCCCATAGTCACTGGCGGCGCTGGGGGCCTCAGCCTCAGCCTCAGTGGTGCGTTCCCCATAGTCACTGGCGGATCCGCGGATTCTCCCCGGATCCTGCCCGGACCCCCCTGGGGATTCATGATGCTTTCTTTTGAGACCATTAGAAACCTATCAGTCTTCGCTGTTAGGTAAAAAGAGACACAACGAGAGACAGAGAGAGAGAGAGAGAGAGTGAGAGAGAGAGAGGTCGAGAGAGAGAGAGAGAGACAGAGAGACAGAGCTGAGTCCAAACTCGAGGTAATGTCGGCAGAGGTTTATTCTTTCGAGGAACAAGGGCTCTCGAGACAATGACCGAGGGCGCCGGAGCGCAAGTTGCCCTTGAGAATCGTTCCCGGACGATCTAATATCCGAATATGACGGGAGTGATGACGTTTTGTTCGATTTCTTCGTAGCAGAGGAGAAAGGTCCCATGAAACCTGTTCCAGCGTTCAAGGCTTCTGGGGGCGGCAAGCTCTCTGCCGACGTCCGATTGCCCATCCCAGTGTTCCCACCTGCATGGGAATACCGCCCGGGGGCTGGGCTTGCGAATGCAGCGTCGACGCATGCTGGTTCGGCTATGCAGCCGTCGGTGACGCACGATCGTCTACTCCAGTGGTGTCGGCCGCCCGTCTGTCGACGGCACTGGAGTGCACGTGCATGGGGGCCAGGCATGGGCCATCCGCGCGCCCGCGGCCGGTCTTGCCCACTCTCCGCCTCCTCGGCTGCAGGCCTCCAGCCACCGCAGATGCCCTGCCAAAGGCACCACCTCCACGGGCACACTGGCCGTGGTGCTGGTCCTTGCCACCTCTCCACGTGGCACAGGGCACTGACAGCGTCCTCAGCGGCATCGGCCGCCCGTCCGTCGACGGCACTGCGGCGCTTCGGAGCAGGAGCAGGGACCGGGCCCCCCGCGCGTCTGCCTCGCCTGCCTCGCCTGCTGCTCCCTGCTGTCGTGGAGGCCTTTTCAGTGCACTCTGGCCAGAACCGTCTCTGCTTCGTCTGCGCCCTTTCCTGGAACAGTGCGACCATGGCTTCGTCTCGCTGCTCCTGTGTGCACTCCCCTTCGCTCCATGTAGCCACGGGGTCGCGCGCTCCTTTGCCCGCTACTGCTTCTCCTGCCCCTCAAGCTCTGGATCAGTGGCGTCTCCCATGGGGGAGTCCTCTTCCGCTGCTACTGCGCCAGTGCCAGCACTGGCGCCGCTGCGACCATGAGCACCAGCCGCTGACAGAGGGCGTTCCGTCGGCCGTCGTTCGTTGAGTTTGTCAAGAGCTGTTTTCGCTTCCTTTGCCTCAGTCGATTCGCTTCCACCATCGGCGGGGCTATGTTTTTGGTGAGAATATCTTTGAGCTTGTCCGACCCATCCCACGCCTCCTGTCCGATGCTCGCTTGTGGTCTGCTATCTCTCAGCTTCTGGGGTGCCGTCCGTCTTGCTGCCTCCAGCTCAGCCTTCGTTGCATCCACCGCCTGCCACTGCCATGGCTGCCTCTGCTGCGTCATCGCGGGCCCGCTCTGCACGCTGTTCTGCCTGGAGAGGTTTGTGCGGGGCTCGGGGGACTTGCTGCGGGACGACCTTGTTCTGGGACAGGTCTGCGATGCCTGCTGTCTTGAGCCTCCCGCGGTATGCAACTCTGTCGCGCTGACTCTGGGAGAGGGCCGTGCTGCCAACGTTCTAACTTGCCTCAGTCGTCGAAGCCCGGAAATCCATCTCCTCGTCCGAAGAAGAAGGCTGGGCATGCTTCGGTCGCTCTTCCCACTGGCTCGGCACGACCCCTGCTGCGCTCGTGGGCGGCGCGGCATCCTCCCTCCCCGGGTCCCTTCCCCTTGCGTGGGCCTCGCCGCGTGCCGCCTCCGCTGCTGCTGGTCCGTCGGGCCGATCTGCCCTCCGCCGAGAAAGCGCCTGGACTTGGCACCCGGGCTCCACGCGCTGCCCTGCCTGCAGCCCCGTCCCACGACGCCGTACGAGACCACTTCGCGCTCGTTACCTGCTGCTCGGGCGCAAGAAGAAGGGACGCTGTCGCCGGGGCCGCAGCACCGGGACGGCTCGGCCCAGCGCGGGCCTGGCGGAAGGACTGGTGCTCGCCGCGGGTCAGCGGCCTCCCATCTGGGAAAGCCCCAAAACCTCGAGCCAGAATGGCTACGGGTCTTCTTCTCCTCCCCCTTCTCCTCCTCCTCCTCCTCCTCCTCCTCCTTCTCCTCCTCCTCCTCCTCCTTCCCTCCTCCTCCTCTTCCTCCTCCTTCTCCTCCTCCTCCTCCTCCTCCTCCTCCTCCTCCTCCTCCCCGTCCTCCTTACCCTCCTCTTTCTCCTGCTGCCCTCCTCCTCCTCTACCCTCCTCCGTCTCCACCTCCCTCCTCCTTCCTCCTCCTTCCTCCTGCTCATGCCCTCCGCTTGCTCACCCTCTTTTCTTCCTGTCGGCAGTTCTCTTCTCCCTCCATTCGCTTCTCCTCGTCCTTGTCCCTCCATCCTTTCTCTCCTTCTCATTCCAAACTTTCCACCGCATCCTCCTCTTCCCTTCTCCCCACCCGCCCATCTCCCGTTCCTCCTCGGGGCTCCCTTGCCCTTTCTTCAACTCAGCTCTCGGGCAGCAGATCAGGCGCGGGAGCGTTACCGAAGCGGTGCACATGCACCGCTCCGTCGAGGTCCGATGCGGAACCGAGGTGCGGAATGCCGTTCCTTCTCACGTGGCTCGGGCGGGTGGTAATTGGAGGTGGCCCAAATGGGGGTGAAGACAAAGTTCCTAAATGGGGCCCTTTAGAACCCCTTTTGGGCATCTTCTGGCTCCAGAAGGGGCCCTAAAGAGTCCCTTTGGGGCCCTTTACTTCACCCCCCATGTTGGGCCACCTCCCATTAGCACCCGCCCGGCTGGCCCGCAGTGGTCAGGCGTCGTTCGAGATAGCGATCAAGAGGTCACTGTTCCGATTCCTCGACTGCACGACATGCCCCCATCCCCTCCCCCGCCCTCGACAAAGAGAGCTCCAGAAGGCTCCGCAGGTATTTTGGCTGAAGTAAGGTTGGCTCCAGCCAGCTCCAGGGCTCGGCTGTAGCGTATTCAGTCGTGCCCCCCGTATCTCGTTACCATGCAGCTTGAATCTGACGACGTCCCATGGGTGTCTGAACCGCCTGGAGGTGTGATGAAGTCGACCCGTGAATGGGCAGCGGCATATCCTGAGTGTGCCGCAGAGGAGTGGCAGACTCCGTTCTTGCCAATTCGGAACTGGCAGGTCGACCGCATTTTACCTTGGGCTGCGCTGACAGCTGATGATGTAGTTTGTGATCTTGGATTTGGCGACGGGTCTTTTCTGATACGAGCCTCTTCAGTTATTGGTTGCCAATGCACTGGCGTAGAGATCAATGGAGACCTTGTGGAACGCGCCAAGGCCAATGCTGCGAGTATGGGCAGCAGCGTTTCAAGCCTGATCGATTTACAAGAAGGCTCCTTCCAGCAGTTCATGTCATCTGAGTCCTTTGCCAAAGCAACAGTGATATTTGTGCATTTGGTGCCGGGCGTTCTACAAAAGATGGCTGAACAGCTTGATGATCGAATTGCAACTGGTGTTCGAGTGATATCCCAAGGCTATGAGATACCAGGTCTGTGTAGCAGGAAAACATCAGAACTTGCATACAACTGTGACGATGAGCGTGATCCCACTACGGATGAGGCCCTTGCCAAGTTCATGGGGCACGCCTTCCTCTATTCGCAATGAGGCAGCTTCTTGCACGATGCAGTGCTACATTAATGATTGTTAGCCCACGCGGGCAAATAGTCTGAATCTCTATCTAGAAACATTCTCTGCTTCCAACATACTTTAACCGCGCATGAATCGCCACACTTGCGCGTAGCCCAGTTGGCATTTGTGGCCGCCAAGCTATCGATGGTAACCTGACGTCCGATTCCGTCTGGACTTAAATGCAGAGTGCACCCTCTTCGCATCGTCGGGAGTTGGAGGGGGAACAATCTGGCTAGCGGCAGTCAGATGGGCACAATGAGCACGGACGAGGAGATAGGAGGCAGAGCTTCAACGCATACTGGCCCTGATACCCTCACCTCGTCCTTGCTCTTGCTCGTGCCGCCCGGGCGGGGCCCCGAACCGCCACGGCGGGGTTCGCCCATAGGAATCAGGGTCAGCGCGCGCAGGAGAAGAAGAAGGAGGCGGAGGGGGAAGTGGGAGGAGAGCAGGAGGAGGAGGAGGAGGAGGAGGAGGAGGAGGAGGAGGAGGAGGAGGAGGAGGAGGAGGAGGAGGAGGAGGAGGAGGAGGAGGGGGAGGAGGAGAAAGAGGAGGGGGAGAAGGAGGAGAAGAGTGAGGAGGAGGACAAAGAGGGGAGAAGAAGGAGGAGGAGGAGGAGGAGGAGGAGGAGGAGAAGCAGGAGGAGGAGGCGGAGAAGGCCTGGGGGATCTCCCAGGAGGGGTCTGGGGAGTGGCGCATCTTCGCCCTCCCCCCTGGGAGCGAGAGGACAGGAGGAGCGGAGACGCAGCTCGGGCATGGAGGGCCCTCCCAGCCCCGAGCACCGCTTGCCTCTGAGGCGCCTCCGGCGAGTCGCCGCCGCCCCCTGCCCTTGCGGAAGGCAGGGCTGCGGTGGGCGACAGCCTGCTTTGAGGAGGACGCGAGCAGTGTCTCGAATCGGCTCGCGGAGGGCCCTCGCGGGGGCCTTCCTGGGGTTGTCTCAGAGACCTTTCCCGGCACTCTTGGGCCACCTTGGGGGCCTGTTTGGCCGTCTCAGGGCATTCTTTGGCCGCCAGGCGCCCCCGGAGTCCGTCTTGGGGGTCTCCGGGGGCCGCTTTGGAGCCCTCTGGGGGCCCTGAAGGCCGTCTTTGCACTCCCTTGGGCCGTCTTGGAGGCCTCTTGAGCCGTCTGGGGGACCGCTTGGGAGCCTCTTGGGCTGTCTTCGGACGATCCTGAGGGCATGTCGGGCCGTCTTGGGCACCCTTCAGCCAGAAAAGGTTGGAATGTGAAAGCCCTTCCAACACCATAGGAGCACTAGCTAATCATGCCGCTTCGGGGCCTCCTGAAGGCTCTCTTGGACCGCTCTCGGGACGTCTTCGGGGCCTCTTGGACCGTCTTGGGCTTTCCTGGGGCCATCTCGGCCGTCTTCGAGGCGTCCTGGGACCACCTTGGCGGTCATCTTGGCCCATCTTCGTCTTTTAGAGCACCCTCTTCGAGCCATCTTGGACCGAAAAGCCCATGTGCTCGGGATCTACCGGGCGGCCAGCAGGCCGGACCAGAGGCCAACGAGCACCTTTTTTGGAAAGGCCAACGACAGCCGAGCTCTGAGCTTCGGCACGCCGCGCACCCCTCTGACGGGTTATGATGGGGACGGCGGGTCGAAGACGTCTACGGTTAAGTCGGGCCTGTCCCTGTACAGGAGGAAGACTCAAAAATAATGAAAAAATAGCCTGGGGGCGATTTTTGGTGAGCTGGGCGCCAGGCGCGTAAGTCGGGAGCCCGCGGCGCTGCTGGCCCGTGACCAGCGCGGCGTGTCGCCACGGCGCGGCGCGCGGTGCCGCGAGCGTGCTCGCGCGGGGTGTGGGCCGCGCCCGTCGAGGGCAGCGGCTGTGAGGGGCACCTCCCAGGGCAGGTTGGCCCCACTCCTCCTCCTCCTCCTCCTCCTCCTCCTCCTCCTCCTCCTCCTCCTCCTCCTCCTCCTTGGGCCCTGGGGGAGATCACGGCCTCGCGGCGCCGGCCCGCGTCAGCCTGTGCGGCGCGGGCCCGGCCCCGTTGGCCCCACTTACCCATCGACAGGGAGGGTCCCGAGGAGTGCACTTTTTTCGCCGGCGGCTAGGCAGGAGGGGTCGTCTGCGCTGGCGGACGAGGCTGACGGAACGGGGGCACCGTGGTAGCGAATCGGCATCCGTGACAAAGAGGGGGGGAGGAGGAAGAGCGGGTGGCCGCGGGGAGGGAGAACGAGGAGGCGGAGGGGGAGGAGGAGGGGGAGGAGGAGGAGGAGGAGGAGGGGGAGGAGGGGAAGGAGGGGGGAAGAGGGGAGGAGGAGGAGGGAGGAGGGAGGAGGAGGAGGAGGAGGAGGAGGAGGAGGAGGAGGAGGACCAGTGGAAACCCTCGAGTCAACAACGATGTTGGAATTCACCCTCCATCCAAGCTCCCTTTTCATAGGCCCTTACAATGGTTCATTTCCACTGAGGGATCTGCCCCGTTGGAAGACAACAGTTTGAAGATCCTGAAGCGTGCCAAAGCATTGTTCTCGGGATTTCAACGCCACGTATCAACCTGACTGCTGCGTCTTGACGATCCAGAATCGTGGCAGAACGCCATTTTTGGGACTTGAACACAGCGACCCAACATAGCTGTTGCGCCCGCATAATCCTGAATCCTTCCAAACAAGCCATGTCTGGTACGTTGACCATAGGAATCCATGACAGTCTTGCAAAGTTTAGAAGCGACTGTACGCGGCGCTATGCCGAGGAACGCATTTGGACAAGGAACCGCCCTCAACCCGTGAAGCTCCTGCAATGTTTAAAACGAATGCGCGCGGCGCTAAGGCGAGAGCCACATTTTGAAAAGGAACCGCCCTCGATCCGTGAAGCTCTTGCAAATTTTGAAGACAAATGTGCGCGGCGCTAAGGCGAGAGCCACATCTTGAAAAGGAACCGCCCTCAATCCGTGAAGCCCTTGCAAATTTTGAAAACGAATGTGCGCGGCGCTAAGGCGAAAGCAACATTTTGAAACCGACCCGCCCTCAATCCGTGAAACTCTTGCACCGTTTTTTAAAACGAATGTGCGCGGCGCTAAGGCGAGAACCACATTTTGAAAACCACCCGCCCCCTATATGTGCAACTGTTGCCATTGTTTAAGCTTCAGAGTCATAAATGTTGAGGACATCTCAGGCGAAACGCCCGGCCTGCCCTAAAACTGGCCTCGGGGTGCGACAGGGAGGAGTTATCTATAAGGAGAAGGAATGGAGGAGGAGGAGGAGGAGGAGGGGGAGGAGGACGAGGAGGAGGAGCATCTGCGGCCTATTTGGCCGTCTTAAGTTCATCTTGGGCCGTCTTGGGGGGCCTCTTGGGCCATCTTGAGGCCATCTCGAGGTCATCTTGAGGCCATCTTGAGGTCATCTTGGCCAATCAAGGGGCCATCTTGGCCGTCTCGTCTTGGAGACTCTCCTGGAATCATCTTGGGTGGGACGACGCAGGCACGGTGCGGCAGCCTGGGCGGAAGAGGCGCCCAAGGGTGTTCCGGGACGCGCCCGAGGCTTCTGGAAAGGTCACATGACAAGCCCCAGGAGTCCCAGAAACAAGTTGTCCTTGGGCCTCTGGGCCTTTTAGATAGTCTTACCGCACTCGACGCAGAGGACGCAAAAGGACGTAGAAGTATTCAACTCAATGCTTGCGGCACGGATAGTTACATGTGCTACTAGCGCGGCTCTCCGATGTCACAGGGCCAGCGAGGTGGACCTGTCCTCCCTCCTCCTTCCCCTGCTCCCCCTCTTCCTCCTCCTCCTCCTCTTCCTCCTCCTCCTCCTCCCCCTCCTCCTCCTCCTCCTCCTCCGCCTCCTCCTCCTCCTCCTCCTCCGCCTCCTTCGTGCTTCCTCCCCCTTCTTCTCCCGCCATGCCTCCCTTTCCTGCGTCTCCCCCTCCTCCGTTCCTCTTCTCCTTGTGCCAACTCTCCCTCCCCCCCCTTCTCCACGTCCTCTACCCACCTCGCTCTCGTTCTCCTCCTCCTCTCCTCCTCCTCCTCCTTGCTCCCCTCCCTCCCCCCTCCCCTCCTCTCCTCCCTCCTCCAAGCGTCCTCCATGCCTCTTCCGTGCCTGCTGCGTGCCTCTTCCATGCCTCCTCCGTGCCTCCTCTTCCCTCTCCTCGCCCCCCCCCCGTGCCTCCCTCTGCTGCTGCTGCCGCCGCTCCTGCTCCGAGGCCGAACACGCTCGCTCGGCTGCTCTCCTCGACGGCCCGCCGCTGTTGTCCGCGCGGGCGGCCCGCGCCGTGGCAGGCTGTGCCCTGGCTGCTCCTCTTCTGGGTCAGCTCCGTCATCGGCGCCCGCCTCGTGGGGAGGGGAAGGGCTCCCCAGACCCCCTCGAGCCATGACAGACATTACAGCGGGAGGTTCTTCGCTGTTTTCGGCCTCCGGGGGCCCCCACCGGGCCTCGGGACCGTCAAAGAAGGACTCGGGATGAGAAACCGGTCCCGGGGAGTGGGTCCGGACCTCTGGGGGTCGACTACACGTAAGAGTGACCCCATCGCCGGAGTGACCTTTGGTGCGGGCCCATTGGGGTCCCCGATCGCCGCACGCGAGGCGGCAGTGGCGACTTGCGCGCTCGTGTTTGGCCCCCCCGCGGCCCCCGAAAAGCCGCGCGCCAAATGTCACTCTTACCCGGTCACTCTTGCGTGTAGCCGATGTAGGCGTGGTGCGTCCCAGGCATTCGGCAACGGATGTCGGAGTATTGCTAGGTCGGGCGTGTCCTCCTGCAGGCTTAGTTTGGGCGAGAAATACAAAAACCCAAACAGGGTCGCTCTTACGTGCAGCCGACCTCTGGGGGTCGCGTCATGTAAAATTCACGACGTCGGGGGTCTGGCTCTCCTCCTCCGCCCCCTCTCCCCTTTCTTTGTTTGCGCTGGGCGAACTGAGGCCACTGAGCTGGAGCGTACCCATCCCTCCTCCTCCTCCTCCTCCTCATTTTCTTTCTCCTCCTTCTCCTTCTGGTCTTTCTCCTTCTCGCTCTCCTGTTCCTCCTCCCCCTGCTCTTTCCCACCTGAGTGGGACATCCTCGCACGACCTGGCGCCAATAATCATGCGAATCTGTGCGCCCCCCGAGCTCACTGCATGCGATTTGGATGGCACCACTCCTTCGCAGTATACGTGGCTGTGCAGTTCACAGGCCGATCTCTGCGCATCGGTCGCTCTCGCCGTCCTCGTCGTGTCCCTCGTCTCGCCTCCTCTCGCCGCGTCCGCTGGCGGTCCGCACGACGTACAGTCGAGACTGATTCGCAGGTCGACTCTGCCAGATCAAGTGTGCCCTGGTGTCTGGAGCTTCGCGGCCCATGCCTTCCTACAATCCTATGGCGATGTGACTCTCGGAAGGGTCTTGTGTCCTCTGGCGTGTCCTCTCCCATCAACCCCGACTGTACAGCCAAGACGCTGAAACAAGGAACCGTTCGGGTTGGGAAGGGGCTCGACGTTCCTTACATTTAGTAGGTCCGTCCATGGCTATTTCTCCAGCGTTCCTCGTCCACGCAGGCGGGTTTGGCGTTCCTTCTTTCAGCAGCCCGACTGTAGTCTTCTTTCCCTGCTCGCTGGGTGCGACGCGTGGCGGCGTCCTTCGGCCCCCTTCCGCCCCCTTCTCTGCCGGTCGGTCGTCCCCCCCTATGCCCCTGCCCGGTGGGCCTCCTCCTCCAGCCTCGCTTCTATCGTTGAGTCGGCCACGTCTCTCTACAAGAGGAATATTCAAACACAGTCAGACAATAGTCTGGGGACTATGTTTTTATGATTTTCGAATCTTTTTCGAATCTTGTTGGATCATCTTTCTTGTCTTTCGCCCCAAAATCCGCCTGTAGGGGGACGCGCCCGACCTCATTCTATCGCCGCCATCGCTGTCTCGGCTCGCGTCGGGCGCCTGCCATGGCCCGCTGCACGGCTCGTTTGCCCCTTCCTCTGCCTGCGCTGCTCGCCTCGGCTCGCCCGACCCGGGAGAGCACAGCCTCGCGGTGCGCTCGAGAGCCCATGCGGATGGCAGTTCATGTTGGCACGGCCCGTTGGTTCGCGTTGATCCACCGCTGCGGAGGGTCTAGGCCTCCTAGGTGGGGTGGGAGGAGATGGGGTCGGAGGATCGCGCCGCATCGCCGATGCATCGCCGATGCATGGGCGATGCGGCTCGATGTGGAGTCCATTTTTCTTCCACGCCGACGTCGCGGATGTATCGCCAACGTCGCCAGTGCATGGCCGATGCATCGCCGATGCATCGGCGATGCATCGCCGATGCATCGGCGATGCAGCGAGACCCTCCGACCCCATCTACTCGGACCCAATCTAGGACGTCTCTAGAGGAGGAACAGGCAGTTCACCGAGCCTGATGTTCATACGGACGTGCACTAGCCAGCGTAGGATCCGTCGCTGCGAAGCACGGCATGAGCACATTGATGATCCCTGACATGCATGTCACTTGACGCTTCTGCAGCGTAACAGCGCCGTCTTACGAATCCGCATCGGACCCTGAGAGTTGTCTACGTCTGCAGCACGGTCCCCTCTTATATATAGCCTGTCTTTCGGGCTAGTGCCCTTTGCAGGAATACTGCCCAACCCCTTGATCAGTTAGGTGAGTGAGGGCCATCCCTAAATCCTCTCCTCAAGAATTGTGACTCTTCCAGGTGGTGATCCTTCCTCCGGCCCCGTGAGTGGAGAAGACAACGGCACAACCAAGACCAGCTCGGTGGAGTATCTTGATTTATGGTTTGAGTCTTGACTCTAGCTCGAGCTCGGGCTTGCAATCCCATCCCGCGCGGCCACCAGCAGCGGCTACGGTGACGACGATGAAGAGATGGTCTCCAGCGAGGCGCTCTGTACGTGGGATCGCGTAACTACCACCTGGTCTACGCCCCTTACAAGCTTGCATCGAAGGGCCGCGACAAAATCGTACCCACCCCCAACCTCTCAGTGTCGCGACGCTGCCATAGGTGCAATGTGAACGATAACGGAAGGGAGGCCAGGGAGGAGAAGCTGACACATTGAGGTTAAGGCGGTGATGGTCGTGCTGGTGTTGATGGTGATACGGTTGTTGTTGATGATGGTAACGTTGACGATGACGATGCCGATGCCGATGACGATGCTGATGATGTTGACGATGATGATGAGGAGGATGAGGAGGAGCATGATGATGATGAGGACGAGGGTGATGCTGCTGATGATGCTGATTATGCTGATGTTGATGCTGCTGATGATGATGGTGATGATGATGAGGATGAACCGTGGCAACCCACGACTCACCAACGATGTTGGAGTACACCCTCACTCCAGACTCCTTCTCCACGGGCCCCTAAAAGGATTCATTTCCACTGGGGGAAGTGCCTTGCTAGGGGGGCAGCCGTGTGAAAGTCATACGGCGTGCCAGAACACCATTCTCAGGACTTCAACGCCACGAGTCAACCTCATTGTTGCGCCTGGACGATCCTGAACCGTGCCAGAACACCATTCCTGGGATTCCGGCACCGCGAATCAACGCGACTTGTGCGTACTTGCAATCCTGAACCGTTCCAGGCTGCCATTTCTGGCACGTTAACCATGGTAACCATTGCACGTCTGTCAATTTTTAGCGAATGTGCGCGGCGCTCACGCGAGAGCCACATTTCGAAGCGTAGCCGCCCTCGGCACGTGAAGGTCTGCCAATGCTTGGAACGAATCTGCACGGCGCTGGGGCGAGAGCCACATTTTGAACAGGAGCCGCCCCCACGCTGTGAATCTCGGGCACGTTTTAAGACGAAGGTGCGCGGCGTCAGGGAGAGAACCACAGTTTGAAAACTACCCGCCCCCCAGATGTGAAACTGTCACCAGTCTTCAATCTTCAGGCTCATACGTGGCAAGACCGTTTCAGGCGACACGCCTGGGCCGCCCTTCCGACCAGCCTCTGGGTGCGATAGGGAGGAGCTGGCCGCAAGGCCAAGAAATTGATGATGAGGATGCCGATGATGCTGCTGCTGCTGACGGTGATGCTGATGATGCTGCTGAGGATGCTGATGCTGATGCGGATGATGCTGCTGATGATGATCATCATGCTGATGCTGATTCTGATGATGATGAGGATTCTGATTATGATGGCGATGCTGATGGCGATGCTGATGTTGGTGCTGATGCTGACGATGCTGTTGCTGCTGA